CTCTTAGAGCTGAAGCTACGATTTCCCTCCTCATGACGTCACTGTGTCCACAGATCTCGGAGATCGCAAGCAAAGATATTATGATAACTTTGCATCTTTCTCTTTGTAAAAATAAGTTAGACTTTTTCTGGTTATTAGCTTTCAAACTTTACGTAATTAACACATTATTTCCGTTCATAAACATAGTTCAAAAAAACTTTCTTGGCCATTATATTAAAAAAAATACCATTTTAAACTTATAAAAATGTTTTACTAGTTGGCGAAAATGACACTATAAATACTTTATTTTAAAAAGTCTAGTTTTAACTTTAATTATTAAGAAAAATTAAAGCATATATCGACACTTTTTTATCTACATATTCTTTTATAACAATAAGTTGAGTTAAATTTAGAATCCCTGATTTTAAAATATGCCATTAATTTGTTCATACTTAATCATTAGAAAACATCAACATTGAACGCTAATTACTGAAACAGAATAATAATTTAGGCTCATTATGACATTAGAAATTTTACAATTGCTTATAGATATTTAAATTTACGATGATGTAATTTATAGATATTTAAATTGAAGAGAATGTAATTTTTTAAAAAAATCATAAATATTTCGAATAACTACATTAAAAATATGTTATGAAATTAGGAGAATTTCAACTATATACTCTATATTTTATTTATACTTTTTATTTACATTTTAATTTTCTTTGACTTTATCAATTTTTTTCACCTACCTTTCTTTTTGAAGTAATGAGGCGGTTTCTATTTAGATAATGAATTTTTATAAAAGTTCTTTACGACAGAATAAACGTATTGCTGTTTTATATTAACTGTGTCATTTCGGAATCCATTCTTTACATAGTTGTTCATTTTGCAAGTTGCAATCGCGCAAACTGGCATTTCGATAATAGTTTTAAATATTTGTAAATTCACTGCAAAAACTGAGGAAAGTCATTATAGAAAAGAAAAAAAAAAGATCTTAGAATATGTCACAGAAAGAAATGTTTCAATATTAGTTAGAGCTATTAAGGCCGAACGCTTCGTTCTTGAAGTAAAAATGCGAACTTTGCGCCAAAGTGACGTCACTAGAGAAAATCGGAGGATCGGCGCGGCGAGAGTTTCTACTAAGGAGTGAACCAGCCCTTCTATTCTCTTTAATTCAATTAATTAAATAAAGAGAAGCCTAAATTAAGAAATAAAGAGTTAAATAAATAAAGAATTAAATAAAGAGCCCTGGCTCCAGCCAGCGTTTCTCAATTTTTTACGGTCACGGAAACATAAATGATAAATAAAATAAAATAGTAGCTAATAAATATGAAGTACACTGAATTATAGTTTCCGAAAAAGAACTTATAAGCGTTGAAAAGGGTTATCAGTGAAACTTAATTCATTATTCTATGATTTGATTTTTTTATATTGAACGGAAAAGTTCAATGAGAAATGATAATGCAGTTTTTATAAATGTATATTCTTTATATAATATAATGTAATCAATACAGTGTTTTTGTAAGAAATATTTTATTTAAAAATTTTACGAATTCTTTTTTATTGTTATTTTATTTAAATAAACAAAATATCAAGTAAATGATGGTTTGTTATTTGGATATAATGACAGGTTTTGAAATCATCATTGGTTTAAAAAATTGAAACTCTCGGAATTCTTCAAGGAATTGAAACTCTCTTTTATTCTTCAAGGGAAACTCAGGGTCCCGCCATTTGGGAACAGTAGACCTAAACCCTCTCAGAACCTATTTAATCCAGGCTATATGAGATTTTACTTTGAAAAAGTTGAGATTGTTTTTATTTCTTGAACATTTATGTTTTGAAAAGAGCGGCACAAAAGAAATCGGTATTTCGCGTTTTTTTTTTTTTTCGAAATATTATTTTCTCCAACAAAAAACTGGAAAAATATATTTTTTTTCCATACAAATTTTTTAATTCAAGCATTAAAGAGGAAGTTAAAAAAAATAAAATAAAAAAAGCATTTGTGTTTTGAGAAGAGCGGCACAAAAGAAATCGGTATTTCGCGATCTATTTTTTTATCGAAGATATGATTTTCTCCAGCAAAAAACTGGAAAAATATTTTTTTTTCCATAAAACTTTTTTTAATTCAAGCATTAAAGAAGAAGTTTAAAAAAAAAAAAGAAAGGACGGCCATCATCTTTCTAGGTCTTTCTGCACAAAAACTACACAACCCAGACACAATAGAATGCAATATGAGTTTATTTCGAAACTATGATAAGCCACATAATCAACCAGTTTAAGATATTATCTTAATTGGTTGATTTTATTCCTTACTTAGCTGAATACCTTATCAGTTCTGTTCTAAACAATAATGTAAATCCTACACAAAACTAAAAGATCTATACCAACACAATTAACAAAGCTGTAATAATTCCATTTTTAAAATTTATTATTATTTTTGGTCTTATTAGATTAAGTCAAACAAGTTTTTAATAGTTCAAACCATCAAAATAGAGATTAACTACATTCAGAATCATTCAGCAGGGGGCTGTTGCTCGAGGCCAACTCATGATAGTCGAAATTTACCTCACTCATGAAATCCGTAAAAAGTCTCTTTTTCACAATATCTATATCAAAGCTGCACAGTATTGATGCAGTTTTAATAGGTACCAAATATACTAATGCAATCACTTTGTACTTACTTTTGTATATTTGGTTTCTACTAAAATTGAACCCATTATCATAATACCACAGTTTTCTTTTATTTTTCATCAACAATTTAGTACCATTTCTCTATTAATTTTGTTTTATAGTACACAGCATGTCTTTATCATTTCAATGAGTACTTGTTAACTAAATTAAGCTTTATCGACGTTTTTAATAGCTTGATCTTTTACGTTTCTCTTAACGAAATACTAGTACCATTTCTTCTTTTAAGTATACAGCTTATTTTAATTTCAAGTTTTACATATTAACAAAATAAATTAAGCCTAATTGGAGTCAATAATAGTATGGTGATTTCTCAAGGTTCCTTTAAATGAATAAGTACCAATTTTCCTTTAATTTTGTTTCCAAGAATATAGTTCCTTTTTTAATTAGCTTGTAACAAATGTTCCATTTTTTACATGGCTCTACCGTACAATTTTTTACAAGGCTCTACCGTGAATTTCAGGATCGAGGATTAATTTGCCCTTTGCACCTGCTAACCAAATTTCATGATAGAACAAACGATTCTGGCGTTATAAGAGTACCTGTAAGTTAGTTCAATTTCTTAGTGGATGGCTTGAATTCCTTATCTCTATACAAAATTTGAAATGAGAAGGGGAAAAAAAAGATAAATGGGGGAGATATGTTTGGGTAAGAAAAGTTTCATTTTATGGAATTTTTCACAAGATTGATTTTAAAAAAATTTGCATTTACAAATTTCATAAATGTATGACCTTACCTTGTTTTGATAGTATAAAGATTCAATCTACACTGATTTGATTTTATCTATCGCATCTGTAGCGATCCTTGAATTATCAAATGTTAATAACATTGCCAAATATCTGTATTGCCAATTAGTAATTTGCGTTGGGGCGAACAGTGGGTAAATAATAAAACAAATCGACCTAAATAACTTTTGATCTAATGAGCGGAATTTCACATTCTAGGGCAATCTTAATGGTTTCAAGGTCTGATCTCGAATATGCTAATTAATAAGTGCAGACGATATTTTAAGTTACGAAATCGGACGCAAAAACGTACTTTCTCTGAATAAACATGCTTTTTTTTTTTTACATCTTTTTCAGATTTCTGACCTGTAAGATACCTGGCAGACACAATCTGAGAAACAGGGTCGAATAGTTTTGTTCAGGAAAAAGGTATGGAATGGACCCTTACATGTTAATTTTTTTTGCCATATATCGAGAATTTTTTTTAGTGAATTGAAATAGTTTTTAGCACATAAATTATGAAAAAAGAAGAAGAAAAAAAGAAGAAGGAAAAAAAAATGAAAGAAAGAAAGAAATATAAAACTTTTATTATTGTTTATCATTTAATTTAAAAAAAAGTCGAAAAATTGTAATGATTGTAAGATATATAACTTTTTACATCATGTTAAAGAAAGTAATTTTACACAGCAAAATACAAAATATGAGCGAAATCGGTCGAATAGTTCCTATGACATCGAATTTCAGAAAAAATTATTTATTTGATCTTGAAGATCCGATCATTAGATCAAAAGTTATTCAGAGTGATCCGTTTAATTTTATTGCGCATTCTACAGTGCGCGAAAAATATACAGAATACTTTTATATTTTCCGCCATAGGACTGCTAATTCGTTCGCGTTGACGGTATTTTAAATTGCGAAATCAGACACTGCATTCATTTAATAAACTACCTTTCTTTCTTTAATAAAAAAACTTTGTGTTTTAAAATTGCGGGATGACCGCAATCTAGAGTATATATGATTCCAATAGTGTGGTCAGGAGAGCGAACGATATCTTCATTCTTTTATCTCGAGGAATTTTTAAGCTAGTTGAAAATTTCTTGTACGCAATTAAAAAATTGGTTTATCCAAAGACAATTGATTACAAAAATAAATAATGGTCGACAAAATTTTCAATTGCAAGGTATGCAAATTTTTACATTCATTTTAAAGCAATGGCAAATATATTTATATGCCAAAATGCAGCATTTGAACGAAATCATTTGAATAATTTCCGAGAAATAGAACTTTAAATTTATTTTTCAAATTTTTTTTAAGCAAGTTACTTATTTGACCCTAAAAATCTATTGTGCTCATATTGACTCTCTCTGCTGGCGTTCGTGTTTATTATTAATATTTGAGACTTACCAAATCTGCTTTGCTGCTCCTAACTTTTCATTCTTCCTTTTTTAATTGTCACTCTTCCTGAAAATTATCTTAGGATATCTATATTCTAATCTACAACATCATTCATGCCACCTGTTGAACTTGATTGTTAAGAAGACCCCCTTTGCTCCCCAAAACATATATCTTCTTATCTATTTTTCGTATTGTTCCCTAAAATCTCGTATTTGTCAAAGAGAGTGATCAGAACCGAGTAGTTCGCTCTCATTGGTCTGTTTTTCTCACCATACATTTTCCATTTCTTATGCCCCACATTTCTTAGAGTCACTTGCCAAAGAATTTGTTGAATATTGTGTGGACTAATAATTGAAGCTCTCCAAAGTGGTTCTTCAAAAAGTAGTTTGTGATGGTTGAACGGATAAGTTATTCTTTCCGATGGGAAATTAAAAATTTTTCTTCTTGCTGTTATGAAAGCAGGGACGGAGAGCATCTCAAGAGTCCAGTTTTTACTCCTATAAATTTTGGCGGAAGCAAATGGTACTTAAGCATTACACCTCCATTTAAAACAATAGATAATGATATTGTTTTATGTTATTTGCACAGAAATGACATCGATGCGGGTGATGAGGAAGTATCAATTTCTTTCATATTTCAATTGATTGGTGAAAGTGGCAATATAATAGAAACTTATGATAGTAGTCGTTTCGCAAAAATATGTACAGGAAAGAGCTTGACAGTATTTAAAAGAAAGAGCTTTCTATGGTGGCGTTTTCATTGTGGGAAGATAGCTAAAGACAGTTTGACCTGGAACAAGGACATCTTAACCATCCAGTGCCAGATGTACACCATGCAGGAACGACCAAACTGTGTAGCCCGAACTAAAATAGAAGTGGATAGGGCCAGTTTTATTTGGCAAATAACCTTACCCGAAAGCAAGTCTTTTTTAATGGATCGAATATTTTCTTTGTCAGAAACATCAATGTACGAAATATCTGCGGCTGATGCTCCAAATGACTTTATAGGATTAAGAGTACGTAAATTAAAAGATGACTCATCCTCACCTAAACTTTTAAACGGCAAAATATCATTTCTAAACCATGAAGGAGAAAAGATTTTATGGCTAAATGTCCAATATTTGTTCCCTTCTACTGACAAAAATGACGTATGGGTGCTTCCTTCTTTTATCGCCAAAAAAACGATAATAAATGATAAAAATAACCACATGAACGGTGTTACTTTTACTTTGTTTTGCGAGTTTTCCGAACCCAATGGTAGGGTATTATCTGATATCGTCAGCACAAACGATCCTAATTCAATGAAGTTGAGTAATGTTCTAACTATGAGAGACGATCTTAGAAAAATGTTTGCAGACCTGGAACATTCTGATGTGGAGCTAAGAGCTGATAACATGAGTTTACCTGCGCATAAATTTCTTCTCTCAGCTCGATCACCAGTGTTTCGCGCCATGTTCCACCACCAGGACATGCTCGAAAATCAATCTAATGTCGTGGAAATCTCAGACGTTGATCCCAAGACATTGAAATCTTTCCTGGAATTCTTGTATACNGATAGAGCCAGTTTTATTTGGCAAATAACCTTACCCGAAAGCAAGTCTTTTTTAATGGATCGAATATTTTCTTTGTCAGAAACATCAATGTACGAAATATCTGCGGCTGATGCTCCAAATGACTTTATAGGATTAAGAGTACGGAAATTAAAAGATGGCTCATCCTCACCTAGACTTTTAAACGGCAAAATATCATTTCTAAACCATGAAGGAGAAAAGATTTTATGGCTAAATGTCCAACATTTGTTCCCTTCTAATAACAAAAATGACGTATGGGTGCTTCCTTCTTTTATCCCCAGAAGAACGATTATAAATGATAAAAGTAACCACATGAACGGTGTTACTTTTACTTTGTTTTGCGAGTTTTCCGAACCCAATGGTAGTGTATTATCTGATATCGTCAGCATAAACGATCCTAATTCAATGAAGTTGAGTAATTTTCTAACTATGAGAGACGATCTCATAAAATTTTTTGCAGACCTGGAACATTCTGATGTGGAACTAAGAGCCGATAACATGAGTTTACCTGCGCATAAATTTCTTCTCTCAGCTCGATCACCAGTGTTTCGCGCCATGTTTCACCACCAGGACATGCTCGAAAATCAATCTAATGTCGTGGAAATCTCAGACGTTGATCCCAAGACATTGAAATCTTTCTTGGAATTCTTGTATACAGGATCAGTGGATATTATTGATGACGAAAGTACTTTAGAATTGCTGATAATTGCCGATAAGTATCAAGTTCTTTCTTTAATAGATACATGTTATAAGTTTGCTCTATCAGCTCTGTCTTTGGAAAATGCATGCAAAATCCTGTATTTATCTGATCTATTGAATCTCAAGCTTCTCAAAGACAATGCAGTTGATTTCGTAGTAAAACATTTCAATGAAATCTTTAAATCCTGTGAATGGTCTGAATATATTGAGAAGAATCCATCCCTTTTATTAGAAATGTTTTCACATCCAATGAAGGATTTAAAAATTGTTTCAAAGAAAATATAAAGTAAATTGAACTTTGTGTATTTATCGAAATAATAATGAATATATCCTTGTATCAGTTGCATAAATTGTTAATTCCATTTATTTATTATTAACAAAGTGTTAATATATTTATTTAGGATGTTTCTAATCTACTCTTAATTTTTAATATAGCAGTCTATGTAGCAAGTACCGTAGCTGCTCATAAATCTGCATGGTTCTATGTTTTTCAAACCTTAATCATTTTATCAGACTTTTGAATTGAAATTTTGTAGTTTAAATACTTCACAATTTAAATTTTTTTAGGGAAATCTACTTAGTTTTATCCATATATATAATTAAGCTATTTGGGAAATTCCTCGTCATTTTTATTTTTTGCTTTAAATATTGATTATTTACAAATTGTTGTAGACAATTTATTGTTCCTTCACGAGATCTTTATTTCATGAGCTTGTGCTTGAGTAGATTACCAATCAAAAGTAGCAAGAGGGGGAGAGAGATAACATGTTGCCAGATATAAATCTTAAACATTCATTGTGAATATTTTAAAAGAGAAAAAATAAATTATTAAATGGGGATCCCTATTTGATTTGTTATCAAACTTTTCAGCAAGTAAAATTACTTCACATTTATTTCTGGGGTGGGCGAGTGAAGCTTCTCAGTAATTAAAAAAAATTGTAGCGCTTGAGATGAGGTATTAAAACAGAGTGTTTTAATGTTTGTCTTTGCAAAGATTTTAATAATGTTTTGTTATGAATCTTGGCATAATAAGATATTATGCATTTGTGTAACAAAAAATTAGGTATTTAAGATCAAAAATACTAAATTTATTGCGATATTTCCTTGTAATAAAATAAGGATTGTGCTCTTCATGGGTACCCACAAGGGTGGGGATGTTAAAAGGGTTATTCAGTTGTACTTCCTTGAAATACAATAAATAAAAAATTATTTCTCATACATTATTTTTAACTTTGAATAATTAAAAATAATGCATGTCATATTGAAACTACTCCTCTGAGAAAAAGAGTTGTACTAATTTTCTAACAAATTTTTAAATTTATTATTATAATGAATTAATATTGTCTTTTTTTACTGTTTAAAATATCGTTAATTAGAAAATGATTAAATAAAATCGTGAAATCTTTTTTGTTTATACTTTATTTAATTTAAAATACCTAGATAAAAAAGATTTCTGTTAATTTTTTGTCAGAGATTTGTTGGTCTTAAAGTCAAACTTTGTTGGTGCAGCACGTAAAATATATGTATATATATTTTGTATCTCCAGAGATGTTTAGTTCATGCAATTTTTTATGCTTGGCAATAAAATTTTAGGCTTTCAGAGGTTTGAGGGACCTATAATAAATTACGAAAGAAAAACAGTATTTTTGAGCACCCTATGTCAGAAAATAAAGCGTTAAGCTTGTATCGTTTACTTTAGTTGTTATTTTTAATAACTGCACAAAGTCTCGTAAACCTAGAATTAATATTTATAAAGATATGGAAATTTTTGTAAAAAATTTATTTTTTTTTGCCATACGTTATTTTTTTTTTCATTATAACTTTATAAATATTCAATGGAATTTTTGGAGCAATTTAACATTAATTGCAAAATCATTGATTTAAAATTTAAAAAGAAATTCCTTAAAAACTGTGCAAGTAACGAGTATTTAAACAAGTTTTTTTTGTGCTGAACATTCAATTAAAAAAATTTAAAAAGTTTTTTTATAATTTTGTAGTGAATCGTATTTGGCAACGAATAAGAAAAAATTGATTTAAGATCTTAAAAATTTAAAAAGTTTCAAGCAATTTTTTAAGTAGTTTTGTGTTTTTCAAAAGAAAGCTCAAAATGATCAGGGTTTTTTCACAAATAGTATTTTGTATCAAAAGACAAAATTTAATAACAAATGATGATACCTTACAGTAACCATCCGGAACCCAAACTTTGATGATATAGAGAAAGAAAACATACTTTTATGAGAGGTGATCCCCCACAATGCCGGTCTCATATTTAATAAATCTTGTTTAATAGCACAAGATGAAATTTGGGGATTGTCTTTTTGAGCTTTCCTTGAAAAAGTACAAATACTGCTTAGAAAATTGCTTGAAATTTTTTAAATTTTTAAGATATTCAAATACGGCTTTTATAATTAGTTGCCAAATACGGTTACCTACAAAAATATGAAAAAACTTATCTAAATTTTTTTCTGTGTTTGCGAAGTATAAAAGAACTAGCTTGAATATTCATATCTTGCACAGTTTTTAACGAGTTTTTTTTTTTTTTAAATTAACAATATTGTAATTAATCTTAAATTTCTTCAAAAATATTTGTTTAATTCCATTGAATATTTATGAAGCAATAAAAATAAAATCGCAAGCCAAAAAAATTACTATTTTTTATAAAAATGTCCATATTTCCATAAATATTTACTCTAGGTTTACGAAACTTTATGCAGTTTTTAAAAATAATTGCGAAATTAATTGATACAAGTTACAGGTTTTTGGTTTGATTTTTTTGGCATAGGATGTTCTAAGATACTTGTTTTCTTTTGTATGTAAATCTTCCAAACCTCTGAATTCAAAATTATCTTGTTTGTAGAAAATTAGTTTTTGCCACATCCAGGCATCATCTTTTCTTCTGAATATCAACAAATACTGGTTTTGAAGTTATTGAAGAGGTTTCTCCTTTCTTGAAACATACACAAAGATGAGCTTGATTTATAATAGGGCCAATTAAACCTCTTTCCTGACTTCCGAGATCACCTTGAGGCCACTATGAGGCAATTATTTACATTAAAAGAGAAACAGATATCCATTTGACGCGGATGGAACACCGTTGTCGTTTTTAATATTTTTTCTAAAGCTCTAATTAGAAGCAAAAATATATTTATGTATTTTTTAATGTAAAAACAATCTAATATTTGCTAAAAAGTTTATCAAAATTATATTTGTATGAAGTTTCGGAATTTTCGACATGATTCTAGACTCAATTCGAGTAACTCCGTAAATATTAGTCCTATCGCTTCTAAGTTAGAATATTCCAGGACTTAAATTTTGTCGCCGAAATGGTGACTGAGTGTCGCCAATCTGAGTTTTCCATAAAAAAAATATAAGGTGTTATTTTTTTTTCTAAATTATGTTAGAATTACGCGATTTTCTAGTAATTTTTCTAATTAAACTGTTTATTTAGAGTACGTCTGAGATATTTAGCCTCATAATAAAAGAATATTCAGAAAATTATACACATATTTAAAAATTTTAAACAGGTATTACAATGGAAGAATTTGATAAGTGCCTTAAAATATTTAACAGATATGCCTCAGAAAAAGACCGAATACATTTCAAGCGGACATACGAAATTATCAAATTTACCTTAATGATTTGTAGTTCAATGACTCTTTCAAAGACGTTTAGGTTTTATTCAAGCCTTTCTTCTTAATTATTCTAAAACGCAAAACTATTTGCAGTTGGATGATTCACTGATGTCGGGGGAACATATATGTAAATGCAAGCTAACATTTTCTTGAATAAAATAGGTCAAATAAAATAAAATAAAAAAAATATTTTAAAAAAATATAATGAAAATAAAATAAAATATGAAAAATAATTTTAAAAACTGCGTTTTTGAATGGATTAATGACAAAAATAACTCTATTTTTGTTAAACCTAACGCGAAAAACGTTCCCTCAGAATATCTCTTTATTAAGACAGGAGGCAGTTTTTGGTGATAAAAGTTTTTTTTTGTATGGCATTCAACCAAACTTTCATTTTTTATTTTAAGTTAGAAAAAAATATAATTATTTATTTTTTTCTCTGTCACTTTCTTTTTAGTTTTTAATAGGTATGATTTTATTAGTAGTATCATTTGATAAGTTTCTTCAATTTAGTTTTGTGTTTGTTAGTTAAGGAGATAAATTTTGCTTGCCACATTTATGAAACAATTATAACGTGTATTTTCATCAGGTGCAGAACTTCAACTGTAATTTGGGGTCTTTAACTGGTCAAAAAGTGGTCCTAAATTCAAATGATGACAAATTGTAATAAGAGATAAATTCTGCTTGTAGCGGAAATGAAATGGTTTAAGTATATATCCCCATTTATCAAAGAGCTATAATTAAAATTGAAAGCTTTAGCTGTTCGGGAAGAGGTCGATATTTTGATCTTCGGTGATATTATGTGGATAAATAAAGGCCGGGAAAGCCTGGTTCCTCAGAACGTGAATTCGAACTCCTCCGGTCGAAGAATCCCCGTTTGTTAAATGGTAAAATCAGTCGGGGTCACAGAGTCCTCCAAGTTCTCAGAACAAATCAATACCTCAGGGAGAACTGAAATGGTGATTGGTCGTTCTCCAGTAAAAGTCAAATTTGCGATCTGTTGATGAATGAATGCAGTATGATTGAGTCTTCCCTATAAAATGGGCTGTGACGCATGTGTGGTTGAAGTCATATTCTTGGTCATAGATGGCGCCACTGAAAAAGCACGAAACACTCCCCTCTCTGCCTAAAAATTTCGCTTGATTTCAAGAAGGTTCGCTTGTGTTGGCAAATGGCATAAGTGACAGCAGCAACTGTAACAACAATCTGGATAAATTATGTTCATAATAGTTAGGAAATTATTACAACTTGTAAATTGAATTGTAACCCCCAGCCCATTGCTGAAGTTAAAATTTGAGTGTTCTAGCTAGTCGGGAAGTAACATAGCCACCGAGAATCAAGGCATCTGCGATCACCAAGATTTCGAGTGACGACACGACACACAAACCAAAAAGCTTAGAGCAGAAAGTGATCGAAAATTTGGCTCCTTGAAGGATATTTTCAAACAAAAACTAGTTAATAAAAAATAATAAATCGAGAATTTGAACGAAATAGTTTCTGAATAATACAATTTCAAAATAGCAGATCTTTAGCTAATTGAATTTTATAATTGAAAAAGTGCAAGAATCTTAAAATTCGCTAAAAAAAATTTCTCAAATGCAAATTTCAAAAATTAAAATTATCATATGGAGCCAAAGATTTTAATTACTCTGACTAAACTACTGAGACCATATTTTTCAGATTGCCTTCCATAATTTTATGGTCAAAAATTCAAATCCCTCGGAAGAAAAGGTA